CCAGCTAACTCTGATCCAGCCACACTGGCCTTCTTGCTATTCCTCAGACATTACAAGCACAAGCACACCTTTGCCTCAGGACATTCACCTATCTTTTGCCCTTGCCTGGGATGCTATCCCCACATAATGACATGGTTTATTCCTCCACGTCTTTCAGGTCTCTACTCAATTGTCCCCTTCTTTTCGTTTTCCTGATTTCCCCTATATTTAAAAATCCCCTCTCCTCCATATTCATATGCCTGGTCACATTGTATTTCATAGCACATATCACCACCAGAATTACATATTTATGTGCTTATTTATTTTTTTTAATTTTTTTATTTTTTTAAATATATTTTATTTCAGCTTCGGCAATGTGCTTATTTATTTGTCCTCTGTTCCCCCCTCCCTTCCCCAATGTTTTCTAACTGCTCATTTCTCTTTCCCCAAATAGTACCTGGCCCATAGTGGCCACTCAGTTAATAATTTTTCAATGAACCTAAAACAAAATTCATCTTTTGTTTGCATGGTAACAATGCTTTTAAATATTTGGAACCAGTTCTACATTCATGTATTAAAAGTAATTGACTGGCCCAGCCAGCATGTCTCAGTTGTTGAGCATCAACCTATGAACCTGGAGGTCATGATTCAATTCCGTGGTCAGGGCACATGCCCCGGTTGCCAGCTTGATCTCCAGTAAGGAACATGCAGGAGGCAGCCAATCAATGATTCCCTCTTATCATTGATGCTTCTCTCTCCCTCTGTCCCTCTCCCTTCCTCTCTGAAATCAATAAAAATATATTTAAAAACAAAAAGTAATTGATTAAACTCAGCACATGTCCTCAATATATATACCCATTGAAAATTTCTCTGCAGCTTAGTTTATAGGAAATCATGCTTAGATTTCAAATTCAACTTCTTTGGTGAGTTTGTGTATCTTATTGATAGAGTGAAGATGCACTAGTTTAAGGTTCTCCTGAAGAGCTGGGCTTTGTGCCTAGAGAGTTAAAGGGCGTTACAAATGCGAGTTGCACCACTTGGAGCACATTCCCAGAGCGGGGCCTCTTCAGCTTTGCCTGCCTGGCTCTTGGAAACAGAAGGAAAACAGTCAGATTCATTCCCCCAGTGCCAATTTCCAACTGCCCTCATTATCACATCTTCCAATATCTTCCTTCAAGAACCAAATTACTAATTGTTTTAATACTGAACTTTTTTGTTCTGTACATAAAACATTATGTATTTACATATTTTATTTAGCAACTTAAAGATAGTTGGAAGAAGCAGAAACAGATTGAGTTTTCTTGTTAAAACTATTGGGGACCAGCTGGTCGGGCTCAGAGGTTGAGCGTTGCCCTATGAACTAGGAGGTCATGGTTCCATTCTTGGTAGGGCACATGCATGGGTTGTGGGCTCCATCCCCAGTAGGGGCTGTGCAGGAGGCAACCAATCAGTGATTGTCTCTCATCATTGATGTTTCTCTCTCTCTTTCCCTCTACCTTTCTCTTTGATATCAATAAAAATATATTTAAAAAAAAACTGTTGAGGGCTGTGTTTATTCTTAGTTACTTGTACTGTGCAACTATGTTCCATAAGGAAAAGCTCTTATGAGTGCATTCCAATATAATAGGTGCAATCCAAGAATGAATTCTCTTATTTTTTTATAGCAGACGACTAGGTGCTCTGTTACCTAATGGACTCCATGTTGTTTTTATTTTTGTTTTTTAATTTTCTTCTTGTAAGGGTAAGACCTTGACCTGAGCCTCTCTCCTATTCTCTTTCTCTATCTCTTCTATATAACTTCTCCTCTCCTCTGTACCCTACATATTTTCTCCACTCCCCCATGCCATTAGCCCGAATTATGTCAGAGGAGCAAGCTTCTTTGTGCTTGGGAAAATAGGCAAGAGGATCTTTAGCCAGGAAAACTCTTTTCAATTCATTTTTCTTTACTTGACATTCTTGAGCCTGCTGCAGGGGATAATGAAATGAATTAAACAGGTCCTGGCTCTCCAGTGGCTTATAGTCGATGCTTGTCCATTTTTCCTTTGGCTGTTGTGGAAAGGCAAATGGCAGAAATCTCAAAGGAGGTGAAATAGGTCTGCTCTCACCTGAGACAAATTTTTGGCCCTTTATGTGTATTTGCATAAACTTTAATTTTAAAAATCTAAAACACCTTAACGTGATTATAATTACCTTAACCTAATTACTATGGTTACATTTTAAAATGTGCACATTTTAAAACAAATATTAAAATAAAATTCTAAAATGTAAATTACTCTCGGGTGCCCAATGATTACTTTTCAAGTACATATCAGATAAAATTCTCTTTTAAATCCTAGGGTAGAAAAACATCGCTTCCCCCTTTTTTTTTTTTTTTTTTTTAGCTCAACCCAAAAGCTCTGATAGAATGTACAGATTCTATTTGCATCACTTCCCTAAGAGAACAGAAGATGGATAAATGAATCCATGTGAATACTGGATGGGGAAAATAGGGAGCCTGGGTTCTAGATGTTATTCTACCTATTGCTCACCAATTGGTATTCTTATGCAAATACCTCCCCCCCCACCCCCCACCCCACTTCTAGATTTGAGTTTTCTTCACCTGTAAAGCCAAGGGATTGGATTAAATGATGTTTGCAATTCTTTCTTCTGTTGACATTGTGTTATCTGATGCTTCTTGCAAGAAAATCAGTGCATTGCATGATGAACCCACATGCCTGTAGGTTCAAGGAGAAGAAACAAAGAAAGATGACCTCCAATGCTGGGGTTTCTTTTGGAGAGGGTGTGAGAAAAGGTAAACTAAGAAAAGGTGTAGGCAGAAATGAGAGCAATTTCAAGCAGATAGAGACAAGGATGATGAAGAAGGGGTTTTAATGGTCAGTGTTAAAAGAGCTTCTATTAAATGTTAGTCATTATGTTAGGTGCTAGAGACATAAAACAAATAAGACTCAGTCTTCACATTAAGGGACTTGTAGTTTGGTGGTAGAGAAAGACATGAATGAAAGAAAAGACATTTCATGAGTACACAGAGATAGAGGATGTGAAATGGTAGGAACACAAGGCAATGGTCAGATAAGGCTTAAAGAAGAAAGTGATTTTTAAGTTGAGACTCAAAAGATGAGTAGAATTACGACAAATCAGAGAGATTAATAAGAAAGGAGAAATAATATGGCAATAGAAAAATATACAGAAGGGGCAAGGAGATTGACTTGGCAATTAACCCAATATATGAAAGGTGGGTGTGGTGGTTCTTCCCCCGTTCCTTCTCCCTCCTCCTATCTACAGCCAGTTTTCTTCAGTGTCAAATATTAAGGGTAGAGCTAAACAAGTACCTTCTATGCTGAAAACAAGGACTTCAGTTCTTTCCTTCCATAAAACCGCAGCTATGTTTCCTGGATCATTTGTTGACATTGGAGGTTTATGAGAAGTAAAAGTATTTGTGATCTCTTTCAAATTATTTGTAAGCTCTCTCCCCCACCCCTCCTTCAGTCTGTAATGACTTGTTACTGACACACTTTCTTTCCTGTGCTGAACAAGCACTAAATCAGGCTGCTTAATTACCTCTGTCTTCGTTCCACCTCCTCACAGCTGAGCCTGTCCAGCTTTGCCTTGCCTGGTAGGCAGAGGAATGGCTGTCTGCGTTGTTTTGAGAAGGATCTCGCTGGAGAACTGAGCCAGGCATGGGGCCTAGTGTTAGACAGCATCAATCAAGTAAATAATGACATTTTCTTAAGGATACCCCCAACCTTACCCTGCTTGTTTCTTTCAAGTAGAGTTCCCCTGAGTAGAGTCAGATACACAAGAACAGAATCTGAGTTAGCCTGGGCTAAGCCTGGGGTTCTCGGACAATGTGTGGAACCCCAGGAAGTGGGGTGAATATGATAGTAAGAGTTGAAATTTCAGTCGTGTCTGTGAATCTCTTCTTATAGAAAGGCATTTCCCTTCTTTTCCTTTCCTTATTATCCACCAATTGGCACATTGCATTTGAGGGGAGAATTTTTTCTTTGGGCCAGATTCTGACAGGCCACTTAAAAATGCCCTTTCTAATTGAAATGATAAAACAGGAGAATTTACTCCAAAGAGAACCAGTGTGTGAAGTTGTGCCTGCTTTCTTTACTGTTGGTTTCTGTATACTGGAGCATCCTGGTGCCAGTTTAAAGCCCCTGTTAGTGTCCATTTTATTAAGTTCTTCTATTTCTACCCATACTCTGCATGGTTGTTTTTACTTTATCAGTCTATTAAAACATGTCACTAGGGTATTTCAGGTGTCTTATGTTATGGCTTAGAGATTGGTTGGAGAAGGGAGTTGTTTGGATCAAAATTATGCCTCTTGCCCTTCCAGGTGCTGGTGGTCTCCATCTGAGGACTGTGAATTGCCATTTTAGAAGAAGTAGCTGTAAGACATCTGGAATTATAGTTTGCTATTTGAGAGCTCAGAACAGCAGCAAATTCAGAGTCTCTCTTCTCTTTGGACAATGATCCTTGTTTTGTGGCTAGGGACAGGAAATGGGTTTCATTGTGATTCACTGTATAGCTTATTTAAAATAATTTAATTTTAACCCGGAAAAGCAGAAAGTACATGGGCTTAAAAGTGACACTGACTCTAAAATGGGTAATCCTATCTTATATAATGCTTTTGAAGTTTAAATAATAAATGGAAAATGCCTAGCACAGTACCTAGGTTAGTGCTCTGTTTGTTTGTTAAATTAACACATGAATGAATGGGGCTGATGTCCCATGACTGCATGACCCATTAGTGGTTATGTGAAAACCATGTGATTATGAGAAAAAAAGGCCTTGAACCCCCCCCGCCCCCGCACTCTCCATTGGAGATATTACATGATTTTATCATAGAAGCAGTTATATATATATAGCTGCTTTTTCACATTATGGTAAATATCAGGTACGTTGTGACACCACCCATTATAATTTGACATGAACTTTTCTGTTTTAGGGGCAAAGTATGCCTCTCTTCCCAAATACAATAGTGTTATAAAATGACTCTGACACAATACATTTCTTAGGTCCGGGCCATAGACCAGTGTGCATACTCGAAGACACTCAAGAATTTTACCATAAGGCTGAGTTTGGTTGGTAAGACCTACTGTTTTGTGTTGAATCTAAGCAGGCTTAGTTATTTAAGTGTCACTAGGATCCAAATGCAAGATAGGTTGTCCTTTAAGGCTAGCCCCAGGACAAAAACTGTATAATTACTATTGGAGGTATATATTTGTGGATTTGTGAGATCTTCATCAAATTTAATTAAAAGATTGGTCAATGAGTTAGTGGTAAATCATAGAAAAACTTCGTTGTGTCTTGGTTTCAGTTCATTCCTCTTTGTAGATACTTCTATTTGGGGGATAAGGTCTGAAATTATTAATGTGGCCTCTAAGGCCCTACTCCTCTCCAGCCTCTTCTCATCCCACTCCGCATTCATGTAACAATCTTCCTACATTGGCCTTTTTAAAGTTCCCTGAAAATGTTGCCTTCTTTCCTACCTCAGAGCCATAATAATTGATGTTTCTTCTTTCTGAAATGTTCATTATCAACCTTTCCACCTGGATAATTCTTACTTAAAATGTTACTTCCTTAGAGAAGCTATTCTGATCCTCCAGACTCTGCTAAATACCCTTATTAGATGGTCTCTTGACATTCTGTATTTTCCTTTCTCAGCACTTATCTTAACCATAATTTACAGTTACTGTCTAAGCATTTATTTAATATGTTTCTCTTTCTAGCTTCATCAAGGTAGAGATTATTTTCTGAGTTGCTTGTTGTGGTACCTCTAGTTTTTAGCACAGTGTTTAGTTAATAGTGAGCAGGTAATAAAGATTCATCATTGAACACATTCATCAATGCTGCAAACGTGCTTGAAAGGTGCAAAGGTTGCTTCATCATATATCCATTTGTACTTTTAATGATAACATTAGAGTGAGTGAATCCTAAGCACTTACACAGTCTCGGGCATGCTCCTTCTGCTCTCCAGACCTCAGCTCATCAGTAGAATGGGGAGGTCAGACTCGGCTAAATGATATGTTAAAGTCCTTTCAGTTTTAGATGCCAAATATGTCAATGCTCAGCTTACCAAAATTTTAATGCTGACTACTTTATTAAAAATGAACTCATAAAATAGGTGGAATATTTTTAGCTGTAAAATAGTAAAAGCATTTGTAAAAGTGCTCCTCTAAAATGTGAGTGATTTTATAATTTTGAAAAATATTTAGCTAGACTTATTTTAACATTTATGTGCACTGCATTTATTTTACATATCTGGAAAAAGAAACAATTCAGTATCCCAAACAGTCACTGAGCATTTCTCAAAATTGAAATGGAACAATCCATATTTATAAAAACACTCTTCACCAAATGTTAAATGTTTGTGAACTTTGGCTAAGCCTGTTAGAAGTTTTACTACATTGTTGATTTTTTTTTAAACCTCAACTGTATTTGGAAATGAATATTCATTATTATCATCATTATGACCAATAACTATGATCTAAAAATCCTATGTTATAAACTCTTATGTGATAGTTAATCAGAGTTTAACCTTCTCCCTATGTAAACAATTGATCTGTAAAGCAGTGATCTAGCTAAAAATACTTATTTGAATAACTAATATTTTATCTTCTTTCAAAAAAAGATACAGTAGCATTTAGAGAAACGTTTAAGTTTATAAGTAACTGGGCTGAGAAGAAAACTTGGTGCTGCTCCATAGTTACTACTCGAGCAGTATAATTGTGTTAGAAAAGTTTGACAATTATTGAGCAGCTAATCTACCTGACATTTTAACAAACAACTTTAAATGAATCATTTCTCGTGAAACAATATAATTTAATTTGAACTGAATTTATTTTCCTTTTTTTAAACTCAACATCATAAAACTATTCATTACATACAGAGTAAATATAATCATATGCCATTTCTGTTGCCTTATTTATAGGAAGAGAATATTTCACCTTCCTAACATCCAGTGGTTTTACATACTGTTAGTTAATTCAGAAAATATTGATTTATTATCATTTATTTGCAAGGCATTGTTCTTGATGCTTGGCATCTATAATAATAAAAGCATAATATGCTAATTAGACCGGACAGCTGAATGACCTTCCAGACGTCCTTCCAGACTACCTTCCTGATGAAGTCAGGGCTGCGAGGGCCGAGCCCTTGCATGAATTTTGTGCATTGGGCCTCTAGTTAAAACACAATTAGATTGATCAGGACTTCAATAAGCTAACAGTGTATCAAAGATGATAAGACATGTGCATAACTAAACAGAAGGTTAAAAATTGTGATAAGCATCACAAGGAAGGTGCAAGCTAGGCATTAAGGATCCATAGCTTACATCTTCTATACAACTTTATGTTTGTTCCAAGACTTTGCATCTTCCTTAGAGCCTAACACAGAGCCCTGCTTATAAAACATATACAATTGATATTAGCTTAGCAGGTGAGCTGTGAAACTATTTTTTAAACCTGTATCTGTTTGACAAACAGGATTCTTTTTATCAAAGTCAAACCTAAAGTCTTCAATCTGAAAAGCATGATACTTGACTTTCTTCTGATCTTGTGAATTACTGAGGTACAATGAAGGCATAAATGATGTCTAAGGGTCTTGCCTCCCTAAGATTTCATGACCCTTTAATAGTCGATAGTCAGACATACTGGCCATGATACCAGCTACTGTACAGTTAACACTTTTTCAGTTCTCCACCATCTCCACTTCAGTACAGAACTTTTCTACACTGGCTTACACCAAGCAGAAAATTTTCCGGAAGATTCACTTGCCCCCCTTTAAAGACACCTGGCTGAATTTCAAAGGAAAAGGATACAACAGGATAAGAAGGAAACCAAAAAGACAGTCCTCTTTACTCCCCTAAGTTTCAGCAGTTTGACTGACTCTTGTGAATTTTTCTTGCCACTGAGTCATTGCACACACAGAATTATGAAGCTTTAATTTCTTTAGAGGCTTGTTATATTAGAAAAATTGTTCCAAAGAAAGCAACAATCATGACATAAGCACATCTGGCTCTGGAAAATTATTCTTTATTAAGCTTTCATTTAATTACATGTGCTGAAAGGTCTGTTTTTGATTACTGTAATTTTTTTTATTTGTCCATCTGAATGATAGTAATACTGGAAATTACATACAAACCACCTGTTTTTCTCCCCTACTAATGTGGCAAAGTTTGAGCTATTTTCTTTGTGGTTACTGAAACTAGGAAGTTTTCTACTTATTATGATATAATATGCCTATTAAGGTAAACGGCTTATTCTTGATAAGAAGAAAAGAAAATATTTAAATGGCGTTTTCAAGCATGAAATAGTGGTAAGATTGAGGTATCTGTATTCTAGTCAACTAGCAGTTCAACTAGTTAGTGTGTCACCAATTTCATCCAAAACCTAATAAATTGGCAGTTAAGTATTTAATGTCCTGTGCTACAAGAAAGAAGGTTGACTTTTATTTTTTTACTATTATTTTTTCACAAATCTGGCTGTATTTTTCTTAGGACCATGGTATACACTGCCCTGAAATAAGACCCTGAGAAAAGATCGATGTCCATTGGGCCTCAGGGATCTTGAGGGCAGCACTTTTATCCTTCAGAGAGATCAGCGGTCCCAGAGAAGCGTGGTCAGTACCGAATGAGAACAATGTTCTTGTAGGAAATCCCTAGGAAAGCTCAGATCAGTTTCTTAGTTCACGAATGTTAAAATTACAAGAATGGACACACCGACTTTTAAAGAACTTTTAGTAAAGATTTTAGATATGAAAGAATCCTCGAGACCATTTAGTCAAATTCCTTTTTGGGCAATTGAAGAGAATGAGTTCTAGAGTGATCAAGTCCTGATCAAGTCCTTTGTTTAGGGACATAAAGTTATTGCTGGAAGGACCAGGGACAGGACAATGACTCCCATACCAGTACTTGTTTTTTTGTTTTGTTTTGTTTTTTGTTTGTTTGTTTTCTGTTACATTATTTGATCTCTCTTATTTTCCTCTTTAAAAAATAGTGAAAGAGAAATTGCAAAGCTGTCAGAGAAATAGTTATCTAACAATACGGTAAGTTTTTTTGAAACTCCATTTCAGCTGCATTTAAAGAGATAATGTTTGTCTTCCCTGTTTTGCAGCAGCTCTATGCCGCTCAGCTGGCCAGCATGCAGGTGTCACCTGGAGCAAAGATGCCATCAACTCCACAGCCACCAAACACAGCAGGGGCAGTCTCACCTACTGGGATAAAAAATGAAAAGAGAGGGACCAGCCCTGTAACTCAAGTTAAGGTACTTGCTTTGCAGGATTGTGGAAACAGTTTGGAAAATAGCTTCACAAAAAAGGTAGTGAACCAGGCTGTGCTGGGAATAAACAGCAGGAAGCAGAGCAACATAAAGGATCCCCAAATGCTCCTCTTTATGGTGAATTTCATGATTGAGCACTGAGAAACAGGTGTTTCCCGTTTGATAACAATAGTGCCATATTGTGAGATCTTTACCTAAATCCGCAAACTCACTTCTCAAGAGTTTTCCCCCTTTGGACTCCAGCTTTTATTTTTTAATGTTCACTGGCATGAATGGCCATGGTTTTATTACCAGTGTTTGTCATAGACTTGTGACATTTCCCTCTAAGTTTCTTAAACAGGTGGGGAGCCAACTTATACTACTAGAGAAGGAGGATCTCCAAACTTTAGATTTAAAAAGGGGAACAAAAGGAGCCTAATGCTGGGCTTTATGTGGTTTTCTGATAAAGGTCTCCTCTTCAAAAATAGAAAGGTGGGCTCTGAAGAATGAGAGGTAGCAGGTTGTGATAAGATAAACAGGCTCTCCCAAGGTATGGCTAGGACATTAATAGATACCTTTCCTCACTGATTTTCAGTGTCTAAGAATGGGGCGGCCAGAAGGGACTTGATGACTAAGGGAAATTGATGATCCATTCCAACTTTGTGCTGCAGCTGGTACCTATAGGTGGTACTGGTTGGTTTTTATGATTGCCTTTCCTTCCTATATTGAATTAACAAATTCAAACAATTCAGAAAATCAATTGTTTTATATAATTGACTTATCTACTTAGAGGAGTATGCTAAGCACAGATGTATGATTGTAATGTGCCCAAAGTACTTCATTGGGGAGAAAATTTGCAATTATTAAATCTTCACATGGAAAATATCTAAAACTCAACAAAAAAGCATTGAATGCTACAGACTCACTGAAATAATTTTATTTTCTAATATTTGCAGACAGAAATGTTGAGATTTCAGGAAGGACTTTATAGAAATGGATCCTAACTACCAAAGATAAGAAAAGTAAACATCATTAAGAGAGATAGTCTGGCTGTGCCACACCTAAAGGAATTAATTTAATGCCACCCATGTTTTTAGATTCTCCAAAGAACTAGATGGACATTTATGCTTTGTTGTTAGAAATATTGAAATATGAAAATATGCTGTTTACATTTATTAAGGTAGCAAAACTATGGTAACAGACTTTTTATATTCCAAGAGTTTATATTTCTGAATAAGAGTCAGAGCTCTACAACTCAAACCAAGGCACTTTGTTTAATTATAGTTGTTAGAGTATGAGCATATCAAACATCAGTGATTTGAGGTATTGAGTATTAGCTATTTTAACATGAAAAAGTCATTTTATAAGTGAATTGGCCAAATGGAACTGCACCAAACCAAGCCTTTACTGGATGAGTAAAATGTTCCCTGGTTAAATTTAAGTTTATATCTGCTTTCACCATTCCAGCTTCGTGGGCCAACTGAATTTTATTACTCACTTGACCACATGCAAATTCTTAGTTCTCTATATAATTTGACCTGACTATATTTTTATGTTAATAACAAAGGAAGTAATCCTCATATGTATGAGATTGTTTATTGTATGTGTGGGTAAAAATATATAGGCCAAAACATAAAACAAATGTTTTAATATTGAAGAAGTTCTGAGAACAATCTTATAATCTTCTAATTGAAAGAATTATGGTCACTAAAATATCTCATGTTTTTGTTTGTGTCATTGCTTTCTTTGTGTATATAACATGTCTACATCACAAAAGGCTAGTTCTCTGAAGGTAACAAAAATAGACACAAATGGTTTTATGTACCTTCTTTCCCCCAGAATTTTTATTCACTATAATTCTCAACATCAGAAGTCAGAATGCTTCTGTCTAAATATCAGTTCAGTCATTTTTACCAGTCGTGTCACATTGGGCAAGTTACTTAAACTTTCTTCAGACTTAATGTTCTCCATAAAATGAAAGTTAATATTATTATGGATCTAAACTGAGAGAATACATCCTCTAGCATGTAGTGAGTATTGCAAAATGTCAATGTAGTGGTGATGAGGCTGTTAATGATGATCTGATGGAAATAAAGAAGATGGTGGTGGTGGTAGTAGGGCTTGTGATTGAAATTTCTAGGTGTATACCGAGAGATACTAATGAACTACTTGGAGGATTAACATTTTCAACTATGATGGAGGAACAGGGACCAGATATACTGTAGCAGGTTAAACGACTGAAACTCAGGAAAAAATCTATAAAACAATGGTTTTCAGATATTTACAATAGGAGTATAGGACAGTGATCCCTGACTAAAAAGAAACAAGTGAGACAAAGACCATAATTGTTTCAGCTTACTATCTAGAGCAGCATTCTCAACCTGTGGGTCGTGACCCCTTTGGGGGGCCAAACGACCCTTTCACAGGGGTCGCCTAAGACCATCGGAAAACACATATATAATTACATACGGTTTTTGTGATTAATCACTATGCTTTAATTATGTTCAATCTGTAACAATGAAATTGGGGATCACCACAACATGAGGAACTGTATTAAAGGGTCGCGGCATTAGGAAGGTTGAGAACCACTGATCTAGAGGGAATTGCCAGGCAATAGTGCAGGGAGGAGTACACATGAAGTTTGGCAGCCTCCCTTAGTAAGGAGATAGAGTTCATAGTTTAGGGATACTAAGGTGGATGGAATTTGTGAAGTGGGGTGCCAGTGAGGATAGTGCTGCACACAGAGAGTGCATTGAAGATCTATGGAAGGTTCCCCAAATTTAGCTGAGTATTGATTAGCATATGCATATGAGGAAACTAACAACAGGGAAGATAAGATTAGCAGACAAAACAGTTGTAAGATTCACAAAGGACTGAGGATGGTTTGAATTCCCATTAGCTAGAGTAGAAAGTTCTCCTGACAGATGGCATATCCAGTAGAATCCCCAGAAGGGTGTGACCTCAGTAGTGGGGCCAAATTATCCCTAGATTAAAAGCAGCTCTGGACCTGCCTATCAGCACTTCAAAGTGTGTCCAGCAAGGATTAAATTGTCCTGCATCTTAGCACTAAGTTCACAGATATTTAGAGGGATATACAAACTCTGACACCCAATGTAAAGTTCACAATGTGTAGTGTCCACTCAATAATTATCAGGCGTTTGTAGAGGTTAGAAAATCTGAACAATAATGAGGGGAAAACTCAGTCAATAGAACCAGACCCCCAAAATGATACATATCATTGAAGTAGCAGGTAAAACAGTAAACACAGCTATTATAAGAGACAAGTATAGCCAACTGAAGAATTAGGCAAATCTGCTTCCCCGCAAACACCCACAGAGTTTCTGTCAGGCCAGGACCAGCTGTGAGGACCAGTAGCAAGTCTGACAGGGTAGAAAGAGATACATGATTGGGAGCTGATAGGTGCTTCCCGTGCCCAGTGGCATTGTTTGTACAAGTGCCAATTATTAAATTATAAAGATAAATAAATTGGAGTATATTCAAAGCTGAATAAAACCAGATGTTATAAATTCCATATGTTCAAGAAGTTAGGGAAAAACACAAGAGTTATAAGGCAAGACATGGAAGACCTAAATTGAATATCTAGAGATGAAAAAAAAAAAACCCACTGTTTGAAAAGTAAGCTCACTGGATTAGTATTGATTGAGATTAGCAACAAACTAGACATTACAGAAGAAAAGATTAGGGAACTTGATTACATGACAATGAGACTATCCAAAATTAAATACGGAGAAAAAAGGCAGTGCTGTGGGACATCAAATGACCTGATATATGCAACTGAAACCCCAGAAGGAGAATGAAGGAACAGAAAACTATATTTAAAAAGTAATTGCTGATAATTTTTCAAATTTGAAGAAAACCCTGACCTTAGATATCTAAGAAGCTGAGTGAACCTAGCATCTGAATCACTATTATTTAGATATGAATAAAGGAACTGACTAGTCTAAATATCCTTTGAGTTTAGAACAAAAGGAAGTAAATTATAATTAAGCATATTGGATAATTTTGACATTCACAAAGGATGTAACTGTTACCTAAGAACCTATCCTATGTCTAGATGTAAATAAAAGAACATTACAACATGGATGTGTCTGATTACCTGTTTCCTACCATGACAAAAACAGAACAAAACAAGAGCAAAAACACTATAGGACATCCCTACATTATTGAGTGACTTATTGTCTCTGATAGTATAGTAGTAAAGGGACCTAGGATTTGGAGTCCAATAAACTAGAATTCAGATTCTGTCCCTCCACGTAGAGCTTTGGACAGTACTTTTATCACTCTGACTCAGCTTCCTTTGTGAAGTTAGAACAATACTGCCCAGCCTCATAGTTTATTGAAGGTGACATAAGCTAATATGTGTGAAAATGTCTAGCACAGTGAGTGCTTGGAACATAATAGCTCCTTTGTTGAATGTGATTTTTATTTTTTTCGAGTTCTCCTTCCTTAGTAGTATTTTCTGGCATCCCTTTTTGTTGCCTCTTAAACAATGACAATTAATACTGGAAGAGACCTTAGAGATCAGCTAAAATCAGCCCCCCCCCCCTTTTTTTTCCTACAGATGAAGAAATTGAGCCTCAGAGAGGTCACAGGGTTGCCAAGGGGGAGGATGTTCTGTTTCCAAGCTCTACTGTGTGGTTTAAACAATAACATTAAAAGCAAGTTCTCTGTGCTTCCTCAGAAGCAAAACAGGCCTTCACATTTGCTGACAATTTCATTTTAGAACACAATAATGCAGATCTTAAAACTGAGCATTTAAATGAATATGCTCATATTACAAGTAAGGTTTTAGCATGGTGGAAGTGTTGTTACGGGTGTTTTATGGCAGGATAAATGAGACAAAATAATGGCAAGGAGCTTAGCTTTTGAACTTCTGGTTAAACCAGAGTTACAAGCAAGATATTTGAGTCCTGTGCTCAGTATAGGACAGGTCTTAAAATAGACATTCTGTAAATATATGGAGCAAAGATATAAAGAGACATCACTTTAGACATGAAAAATAAATTGCATATAGCATGGTATGTAAAACATAATTATAATGTGTGCTAACTCTTTGCAAAAATTAATTTTAAACATGAGTAGAGGCCAGAATACAGACCATGAAGAGTGCCCACACCCAGAAAGCCACATAGAAGCCATGCTGTGGCAGGCGGCTCCGGGCAGAGGCCCAGGAGATCAGAGAAGTCCTCCTGTGTTTCCATTTTTAAAGTACTGGCAATTGTTTGATTTAAAATATATATTAACAAATTAGCTGCAGGGCCTATTTATAGTTCCAGGAACTTTTTAGAGAGAATAACACAAAAGCACTACAGAGCTGCTGAAATTTTAAATAATTCTTTGTGAATGCCCTAGGTTAATTTAGATCCCTGAAAACACATTAGGAAATTAAGCTGTAATGTGAGCTAATTCAGATTTTAATTTGGCAAAAAGAATGATCCAACTACACAGTTAATGTAAATAGAAGCATAACACAGGGAAATTAATGAGGTTTCCTTCGGATGAATCTTTGAGGAGGTAGATAATTAGCTCCTTTTGTTATGATTGCAGGAGAATGTGGCATTGTCTCTGAGGTGTAAAATAACTGTGGCTTACTAAGTGATAATGTGCTTCATTTGTCTTTTTCTTTTTAATAATTATTTATGTTAAACTCCCGTAGGATGAAGCTGCAGCACAGCCGCTGAACCTCTCATCCAGACCCAAGACAGCGGAGCCTGTCAAGTCCCCAACCTCTCCCACCCAGAGCCTCTTCCCAGCCAGCAAAACCAGCCCAGTCAGCCTGCCCAACAAAAGCGGCATCCCCAGCCCCATTGCAGGGAGCCTGGGAAGGGGATCCTCTCTAGGTAAATGGAAAGGTCAACACCAGGAAGAGACTTATGAATTAGGTAACAGAAACCACACCTGTTGAGCGATGACTGATCCTTGCTTCCAAAGTGTTCCTTAGTCCAAGAAAAAGAAAAAAAATGTAAAATCTGTCCTACTGAAATATAACCCGATTTGGCGCCCTTTGGGTTATTAGAGCTTTTGGGAAAGGCCATCATATAAATTCTGCTGGGATGGGTTCTTTAGACAATGATGAATTCGATCCAGCAAATCAGACTATTGGGAATTTCTGTCTTCGATCAGTGCTTTGCCACTAAAGTAACTCTGGGCAGAAGGCGTGACCATGAGCCCTCCAAGGACCTAGAGGGACCCTGGCCTCAAAGCTGCCCACCAAAAGTCCAAAATTCCTTTCAAATGTTATGTTTTCTTTTTAAAATGTATGTGAATTTCACATCTAATCTATTAGTTTGCATTAAAACAAATCTACATGAAATAAAATTGGAATATAGTAAGATATAATGATCCTCTGGCTTCTTAGAGTTGCTGACACGTGGCCAGGTCTCTCTAGGAACGCTCACACCCCGTGTGAGAAGTGTGCAGGGAAATCATGGCTTCTGGCGTCAGACGGACTTGGACTAAGAGCCTTTACTTACTAGCTGTATAATCCGGGGAAAGATACTTAATCTTTTAAACTTTAGTTTCCTAATCTTTGAAAGGGGGATATTATTACCTTGCTCATAGGTTGTAATGAGAATTAAGAGAGAAAAATGCATATAAATTGTCTAGCGTGGTGTCTGGCACTTTTAAGGGGTAAGGTTTAAAACGGCTGGGCTGAGTGAATACCAGCACCCTTACAAGTACGTGTAGAATGAAGCTTGTGAAAAACTTGTCAGGAGCTCTGTTACTTTATTGTTACTATACTCTTTAAGTCTCTCACTTTTCAAATAAAGACACAGACATTCAAAGGGATTAGGGACTAGTGCTAGCATTTCTTCACCATATTACCTTCCTTGTGTAATTGAATCCTGGAGCCTGAAATGCATATTTCAGTAAGTTAAATAGTGTGTACATGTAGCCATTTACAGCTTACCATTTTTGCCTATTTGATTTTTTCACAGTAATCTTATGAGTTAGGTAGTGTAGTGTTATTACCCTGGTTGTATGTAAATGGGGTCCTCACAGGTAAAATGACTTGCCCACAACCATGTAGCTGTGGAGTCAACGGAACTAAGGCCAGACTCCATGTCCTCTCCCACGTAATCAGTGCTCCTTTTGTGAACCCACAGTTGGGGCATTTTCTGAACTGTGCTGAGTCGAGGCAGAGGTGAGTCGTCCTCACTGAAATTTGCACATTAGGAGCCACACAATGGCCTGTTCTCATTTTGAGTCAGGATGCCTTTTGGGAACCCGAGATCCTCAGCCCAGGTTAGTGGGTTTGCATGGGAGCAAGGACCAAAGCAAATCCGGTGTGTGAATGTGACCACTGGATCATCAGAAGCTGCGAGATGAGGAAAAAGCCAGCATCAGTAAATAATAATTGACTTGATCTTGAAATGGCCCTCTATGATCCATTTCCGAGTTTTGTTGGGAAAGCATTGATTTGCTGTGTTGAGCATTGTGAGGGACAGAGGTCACCCTGTTACAGGCCCTGCTTTTATGAAGTTTATACTTCAGCAGAGCATATGTCTTAGATCCTGAACTAGAAATGGGCTGAAGTAATGCTCTCTGCTCCAGACAATATAGGAGAGATTTGTTGGTATCAGAAAAGCTTCAGAGCACAAGATATGGGTTTCTATATCCTAAAAAGTGACTGATTTTAAAATTTTCCCATAGATAGCCTTGGGAATATTTTTTAAAAGCAAAGGCATGTGCGCATGTACACACACACACACACACACAGACATGGGCCATGAAATGCTCATACCAGGTTACAAACAAGTGGGTTTGAAATCTACCAATCAGCAAGCTATTGTTTTATTTTTCTCTAGAACTGGAAAAACTTCTCTAAAGTATAGATTTTAACCTATAGTATAATGCAAGATATGAAGGAAAATTAGTCGGTTTAATTTTGAAAATTTTCCCACTGTGTTGCATGGAACATAATGAAAGTAAATATTTATTATTACTTTATTTGAAGCTTTGTTCTTATGTGAAAACCATCCCCACTCATACAGCCTCACTGTCAGGAAGGCAGGAAGCTGAGAGCAGTGGGTGATCGGGCTGGGGGCAGGGAACGGGTTGTCATTCTCTTGGTAAATAACTGAGGAAGCATGATGAGTAGAATGCTTCATTAACCAGCCAGTGACTGGGGACCGGAGAGTGTGGGGTGTTACTTCCCGCCCCCTCTCTCCTGCAGTGGACATACAAACACACACATACAGATGTCACTGAAGCACACATATAGCCTCGCAGATCCTTTCTGCTAGGCTAGCAATAGCTTTCCAGAATTAGCACACCAAACATAATGAGCAGCCTGAACAGACATCTCTGTCCCCCCTTCCCACCTCTTTCTTCTCCTCTACTTTCCCGTTAATTGTTAGACATAGCAGCGCAGATAAATGTATACACACAATTGGAATCCAGGAACCTTCCTCTGTGAGGTGGATTGACAGGCCAGATAAACTGGAGTGCTAGGGCATCCTCCAAGAGCTAAAAAACAAAGCAAAACAAAAACAAAACCCAAAACCACCACCAACAAAACAACTGGCCTTCTGTGCTCTGTGCACAGTATTGTGATATTCTTAGTAGAAAACTTGCCCCTTCCTTGTTTGGCAAATGCAGCATTCTACAGGGGAGTGGAGAGCAGCATATTTTGTAAAGATTCTCACCTCACAAGCCTCTGATAAAGCATCCTGTGTGTGCAGATATCCTGTCCAGTCTCAACTCCCCTGCCCTGTTTGGGGATCAGGATACGGTGATGAAAGCCATTCAGGAGGCTCGGAAGATGCGAGAGCAGATCCAGCGGGAGCAACAGCAGCAACAGCCACACGGAGTTGATGGGAAACTGGCCTCCATGAATAATATGGGGCTGAACAACTGCAGGAATGAAAAGGTAAAACTGGCTTCCCTCCTTCACTGGCTCGCTGGCCCCATTGGCTCCTTCTCATCTGGCTCTTTCCAGGCTCTCAAGCATCAACGAGGCACTCAACCTACCTGCCCATTGTTGTCTTCCTGTCCTGTTCCAAAAGATTTAGAAATATCTTAAAATAAAGGGGATATGTGAGGTTACTAGAATAAGAATATAATATTTAAAAAGAAGCTTATATAGTCATGATGGGATAGATTACTATAACTCATCACTGAATTTGCTCTAAGCTTCCTATCAGCCAGAGCAAAAAATAAAACAAAGCAGCTTATAGAATGCATTTGCTGATTTTGTTGTTGTTTAACAAATATTTATCAAGTGCTTATGTTATGAAAGATACTGTTTTAGGCATGGGAGATGCAACAGCTAACAAATCAGATAAAAATCCCTGCTCTCATAGAGCTGATATTCTAATAGGGGAACACAGATGACCAAAAAAAATAATATGAAATATGTAATGCAATGCCAGCAGTATTAGGAGTGAATAAATGCTTTGAGAAAAATAGAATCAAGTTCAGGGAATAGGGATTGTGGGGTTGCTCCTTTAGAAAGGGAGGTAAGTACTCTGAGAAAGTGACACTGAGTAGAGATATGAATGAAGTCATGATGCATTGAGGTCCTGCTGCATGAGAGAAGGGGACGCATGGGACAGAGCATGGTAGACCTTGTGGGCCTTGGAAAGACTTTGCATTTTGCCCTGTGGTGGGAACCCTTAGATGGGTTTTGTCCAGAGCATTGACATGATATCACTTACCTACAAAAAGATCATTCATGTGATGTGTGAGAATGGACTCTAGGAGGTTAAGAATGGGGACAGTTGAGAGGCTTTTGTAGTTCATTGAGTGAAAAAATCCGATTATCTGATGAATGAATGATCCTTGCCATTCCGTGGCTTGTTGCTGCATCACTGCAATTTCTGCCTCCCTCTTCACATAGCTGTCTTCTGTGTCCCTGTCTCTCCAAATCTCCCTCTTCTTAGAAGGACATTAGTCATTGGATGTGGTTCTACCCTAACCCAGGATGACCTTATTTTAACTTGATTTTATCTGCAAAGACCCTATTTCCAAATAAGGCCCCATTTTCAGGTACCAAAGGTGAGGACTTGAATATATCTTTTGGGGGGACACAAGTCAACCAATTAGTGGGATACAGAGCCATTGCTCATTTCATATCATCCTCCCATTCTTGATGGGTCTATATACGTTAGCTAGGAGACAGCTGGGATACAGGAGGCTGGGAAGGGGTATGAGGAGATGGAACTCTCATAGCATGTCTGTGACCAAAGCCCTCACCAGATTACAAAGCTTAGCTCTGGAAGTGTTGACTTCCCAAAGATTAATAAAGAATTCAACTTTACTCTCAGTTCTCATTGCATTGAATTACTGAAGTTAACATTAAATATATATGTATACGTGTGTGTGTGTGTGTGTGTGTGTGTGTGGTATGTATTTGTGTGTGTATACTATTTAAATATAATCATTATTGGACACCCTGCCTTGATTGATCCTCAGGTCGGAGAGAGACTATCTGAGGGAATGGCAGGTTTTTGGTGCCTGTTAAGCCATAAACATTTACATACTTGGGACTTGTCAGGCACTTGCCAGCCACTGGATCAGTTCAGTCAAGTGCTTCATTCTCCATGAAGTGCTTCATCCTTGGCAGTGGGCTCACAAGGCAGAGCCCTTCTTTAAGAGATCCCTTAATACATGGTCAGGACCACAAGGGAAAAAAAGGCTTTGTCCCCAAAATCTTCTACCTCTCTGATATTAAAAATAAACACAGAGTCATTCTTTTGACCTAAGATACTGTCTTGAGCTCAGTGAGAACACCATGGAATAATAACATATGTAATTTTAATGTAAATAACTTCCTAAGATCCTTTCTTGGAACATGGGTAGGTAAAGAAGTTTTGGCATAGGGCTAATGAATGGAATGGGAAATTGGGTTAAAAACGAGGGATTATGCACCATGGACCATCTCCTACTTTACAATTTTGTCCAGGGTTAATCCTAAAATTAATTTGAGACACATGTCAGTGATTTGTTTAATTGAGTCTTTTTTATTTATTAGTTTTCAAATGAAGTAATATATACTTACTGAAAATTCTGGTAATACAGAAAGATATATGGTGAAAAGCTAATTAGCCTCCTCACCCCATTAACTACCATTAATGATTCAAAAATTTTCTTTGAGTAGTAACAACCATTAGTGATTCAGAAATTTTCTTTGCATATATGAGAAAGTATTAATGATTTTAAAAATATATATTCTCACTTGGAATAGTAGTCACTGAGTGTCACCAACTATGTGATATTTGGCAAGTTGCTTAACCTCTCTGACTCTCAATTCCTTCATCTATAATATAAAAGTAGTAATCTGGGTTACAATGACATAAGCTTATGTGAATATACCCAGCCCAACTCCTGGTACAGAGTAGGAACTTTCTTTTTTTTAAAATATATTTTATCGATTCTTTACAGAGAGGAAAGGAGAGAGAGAGAGAGAGTTAGAAACATTGATGAGAGAGAAACATCGACCAGCTGCCTCCTGCACACCCGCCACTGGGGATGTGCCCGCAACCAAGGTACATGCCCTTGACCGGAATCGAACCTGGGACCTCTCAGTCCGCAGGCCGACACTCTATCCACTGAGCCAAACCGGTCCCAGCAGAACTTTCTTATCTTATGTTTCCATACCTTTTTTAAACTGAATTTATTGGAGTGATATTGGTTCACCAAAACATACATCATCCACACCCTGAATTGTGTGTCCACCTCCCCAAGCAAAGTTTCTTTCTGTCCCCACTTTCCCCTGCCTTTGCCCACCTCCATCTCCACTTCCCCCTGTTTCCCTCTGGCTATCACCACACTGTTGTCCATGTCTATGTGTTATGTAAATATGTTTTTTTTGGTTAATCTCTTCACCTTCTTTCATCCAGCCCCCCCACACACACCCCTCCCCCCTGACAGCTGTCAGTCTGTTCCATGTATTCTTTCCAACTAAATCATGGTGGGTTTTAAATATGTGGAACAAATTTACTACTTTGTCACAGATATGAGATCCTCACACAATAGTAGGAGGGTCAATAGAAGGAAGCAGTAGATGTGTTGGCATATTGGCCAACTCACATACTTAAACTCCTTTCCAACTGAGGTAATATACAAAGTTAGAAACTTCAGATTTATTAGATTAAATCAGGGTTTCTCAGCCTTGGCATTATTAACATTTTTGCCCTGGTAATTCTTGGGGGTACTAATTTGGCCTCTATTTATTAGATGTCAGCAGCATTCCCCGCCTTTGTGACAATTAAAAATGACTTTAGACATTGCCAGATGTCTTCTATTGGTGGAGGGAGGACAAAATTACCACTAATTGAAAAACACTGGGCTCAGTAAAATATATTTAGAATTAATACATTTCAGAAATTTCATTCCACAAAAAACTAATTATTTCATTTAAATAACCATATTATTATTAAATTATGAAAAATAACTTGCCTTTGACTAATGTCATGAATGAAATATTTCTTTGAAAAATACATATGGAAATTTTTGTTTGGAATATTAACATAAAGAGTATTTAAAATAGAATGTGTATATATGCTATTTAGTTTGTGGGGAAAAGAGACGTGCTCAGTACTGGTGCAGCAATTCGGCCTTTCGGTGAAGACCCTTAGTCCTATTAAGCAGGCTTAGAACAGTAGCATCCTGATCCATAACCTAGCAGGTCATTGGCACTGGACACACCTTGCTTTCAGCAGTGACTCTCTCTGTGTCTGACACTGTGACCTGAGATAGCTGAATTTGTACCATCAATTGGAGTTTAAGTTCAAAGTTAATGAACTATTAACTTCAATCACAGGTCAATTTTAAATATTTCTCACTGAGTTTTCTTAATTCATTTTGGAAGAAGACGTCTGAGGTTCTGAAATAAGAACACCTTATTTCACACTAGAAGACAAGGAAGAGAGATGAGAGATTAGGCTAAGATCAAAAGTAATGATGAAAAACCAAACTTGACCTAAAACATATCACACTGAATATGATTCAGAAAGCCCTGGTTTCTCGGTTAAAGGGAGTTGTCTCAGCTGATGACTTTACTGGTTGAATTTGGAGCACTGGAAAAGTCCATGACATTCAGGAATGTGTTCACAAGCTCTCCTTAACTTTTGTGAGCCCCCTCCCCAATAGTGTCTGTCATTTGAACATACATTTTGTGGTTGTGTAGGCTTTGTTTAGTTTCTAGAGTCGGTATCTATTCTTGCTTATTAAGTTAGTTGCAGTCAGAAGAGTAAATTTAGAACGTTAAAGGACTCCTGATATGGTAGATTTGGTTCACTTATCATCAAAATAATCCATCTTAATTTTATAGGACACTACTTCCATAGGACATTACTTTTTCTTCTGGAGGATCAGACCTTCTGAAGTCAAAGAGGATAAATGTATAATGTGAAATAAGGTTGATAAAATGTATTGTTTCAAATTCAACTGTCTTCAAAATTGTCCATTTTGGAATTATCTCAGTTCCCTTAAATATAAAGATATATAAATTAGATTTATGAATTTGTTCTCATAATCTGTTATACAGTTTTAGAAAATTTTTCACAGTGTTGCTGTCATAAAACTTTATAATTTATTAAGCATCCCTGGTTGTTCTCTTATTTGGGCATTCTTTATAAAGGGGTGTGTCATAGAAGCAGATGATGAGGTGGAAATTAGCAAGCAGGTTTATTGGGGAGTTCTCTTTCCGATTGCCACCTATGCAATGGAAAGGATCAAAGCAATGCAGTCTCAACCAACCTCAGCCAAGCCCATAGGAAGCTTGGAGGCTGCCATGTCCATTCAGAATGCCCCAAGTGGAGGGGGTGAGTTTTTACACACTTGTGTCAACCAATTTTTGGATGAGGGCTTCCTTTGGAAGTCTCTTCAGCTAGGTCAATGCCAAACAGCTGAGGGTGAGCTACCAAC